TTCTTCGTCTGTGTATGATAGGGGCTGGCGCAGTCTTCCTGTGTGAAGCGCCAGACCCCATTCACACCATGTAACGATGATGATGATGTATGTTCCGGGCTGCATTGCAATATTGATTGTTCGGATCACTGGTATCTAAGTCTTCCGCTGTGTTATCTTATACTTTGTATTGAGAGGTCGGTTCTTGTTCTGGTCTGCTCGTTACAGTATGCAACAGTTTGGTATCGGAGCGGACCTCTCATTCAGAGCACCCGCTCAATCAAGTAGCCAGCTTGCTGATCTATTGATCACTCATTAGTAAAGCGAGTAGGACTTCGTCAAATCTTTGAAAAAAAAAAATTCTCGTAACAACTATCTGAAAATTTCTGATATTCGCATTTCGTTTTACCTGAAAATTTCTGATATTAGTAGTTCGTTTTTACGTAACAAATATCTGAAAATTTCTGATAAATCGCATTTCATTTTGTGTGAGAACTCCCGATAGTAGCATTTCGTTTCTCTGATATTTCGCATACATAGCTGAAATTTCTGAAGTTAGTATCTCATTTTCTAGGCATATTGGGATAACGATAGAAGGGGTCATATTCTCGGAAACTGAAATTATTCTTTTCTGAAAATCGAATTTCCATTCTATCCCGCAATTTATTTTTGAAAACCGAAATCTTGCGAAGCCTACCAATATTGCGTTAGGCATATTCGGAGGTTGCTATATTCTGCATGGGTCCTGGGGACCATCTCACGCAGATGTGTACATGTCATGCATCATCTTCACATGCAGTGATCAATGGTCTCAACCATAGACAAAGGTAGAGAAGAAGAGGACCGAGTTTCACAGCTTATATTATCAAAAATATGAATACAAAGTGTTTCAAAGTTCCCCTGAGTCCAGCGCTCATCAGCGCAACACCAATCTCTTGTCAACTCATCAATATGACTTCCAGTGAACCAGCGCTACTCCTGCAGATAGTCTCCAAGTCATCAATATGGTCACAACTGATCAGCGCCACCTCTGCGGTTCACAACCAACTCAGGTAAGTGTCTCCCATAGCCAAACCTTGAATGAACACTCTATATCTCAGTCCCTTCCTCTTACGATGCATACACATTCTCTACTCATGAGGATCTACTCTGAATACCACTCATAGCTACACACTAACCCTCTACCACTAATGCTAACTCGCTGGGCAGCTATGGCTGCATCATATCCAGCGTACAATCTTCTTCCTCCATTCAGCGCAGCTTCTACCTCCAGCGCTGCTCCTCCTGACTCAGCACACAAGTGCAACAGCACTTCCACGTATTGCAGCCAGTGGAGATCTGGCGAGAAATGAGGCAGGCAGCTCCCTTTATAGTGCTGGCCACTCCTCGCTGGGTCTGCATTGGCTCAATTCGGCCTTTCCTTTGTCCCAGACCCTGCATTGCATGTGTCCCAGTAGAGTCCCAATGAAGTTCAACTGCTGCTGAGGCCTTTCGGCCTGTATTTGGACTTGAAAGTCTGGATCTGGACTAACCCCTTGACTTAGACCAGAACTGGGACTGTGCCTACTGACTTCACTTTCGGACAGGCACAACTCTAAACGAACAGACACATTTACTACTTGAACAGGCACTTTCCTTTGCACGAATAGGTACACTGCCTGCACGTACAGACACACCCTTACCCGAACAGGCATGACATACACATCTCCTGGTGAACAGGTAAGTCCTTTGACAATACCCTTTGCCTTAGATTTAGATGTGCCTGTTGACAGAGAACTTGACTTTTGACCTGCTTTCATGTTTCTGAGCCCTGGCGAGATACCTTTTCACAACGCTTTACTTTTACAAGACCCGTGCTGCATTACTTTGGCAAGGCCTGAGGCCTATAGCGTGTAAAGGCCCTTTTAATTCTCAGAAACTGGATTTCGTTCTTTTCTGAAAATCACATCTTTACTCCATTCCGCAAAAAAAAAATTCAAGATCGCAGGTTGTAAAAGCGAAACTTTGCGGAACCTAGCCTAGATCTCGTTCATAGTACTCTTCTGACATGTGCTCCTCATAATAGATCGACAGATATACAAAAAAAAAAGAAAAAAAAAAAAGGAAGTAGTCCTCTTTTATTTTTATTTTTATTTTTTTTATCTGTTGATTAGGGCCAGAGGAAAGTATTGTTGGGTTGGTTTCCTACCTGCATTTTCCCTCCCACCCACCCCTTTGCATGCAGTTCCGGGTTGGTAAGTGACACGTCAGCAGTGCCACGTCAGACACAGTGACACATCAGCAGTGCCACGTCAGACACAGTGACACGTCAGCAGTGCCACGTCAGACACAGTGACACATCAGCTACAGTGACACGTCAGC